TGTGAGCCACGAGGCAGAAATCAAAGGGTGAAGGTCTTCCGAGAAGCCATTTTTCCAAAGTGAATAAATACTGGAAAGAGGGGAGAGGGAGGGAAGGAGGGGAAGAGAAAGAGAAAAGGAGGGAGGAGGAGAGAGAGAGAAGAGAGAGGGGAAAAGAGGAAGGGAGAGAGAGGGAGAAAGAGAAGAGGAAGAAGGAGAGAGAAGAAGGGAGGGGGAAGAGGAAGGAGAGAGAGAAGGAAGAAGGAGGGAAAGAGATCTCAGAGCTCACAGGGCAAAATTATATAGGGGGTAGAACAGGCAACAGAGATGAGGACCACTGAAATAGGTCTCCAAATATCTTATTTTAACTCCTTGACCAAAACTCCTTTTAGGATCAATACCCCTAAAATATGATTTTCAGGATTGATGTAGTTCATTGGGTAGAGAACACTTTTTTGCATATTTCTGAAGTGTGCCAGATATGGCAGGCAGACCTGTGATTCATTTATCATTGTTGTTTTCCATTTATCTATTTAGGATAGGGAGGGGCATACATCCACGAGTCAAAGGTCAACTTCCCTTTGGATCCTGAAGATTGAACTCGGGTTGTCAGACTTGGCAAGGACCCTCAATGGCTCAGTTCTCATTTGCCTCAATATGTTAATTTGATAAACCATTGCCCTGATCAAAAGCAGCTCCTTCACATTGTTTCCGGGGCGTAAAGCTGGACATGTGTTCCAGTTTTCAGAACCCCGCTCACATCCTGACCTCACTGTCTTATGCAGCAAGGTTGTTGGGTTGTCTTGCCCACGAACCCATGTGGTTCACCCCCTACCAGCTTGTTTGGACTTGCTTTCTGCCTACCTCCTATTGCACAGTGGTCACACTCCCCCACTCTTTACTGTTCCTAAACCACGGAACTACGTTGCAGCTGTGCCCCCCAGACATCCATGCTTGTCTTGACTACTGCCTGGACTGATCTTTTCTGTTTTCTTTTTCTTCTTTTTCTTTTTTTCTCAAGAGAGAGGGCCTGGCTTTCCTGGAACTTGCTTTGTAGACCAGGCTGGCCTCTGCCTCCTCAGTGTTGGGAATAAAGGCCTGCCCCACCACACCTGGCTCATGACTTCTCCTTAGTACTTGGCACCGCTGACTCCTCAGCTCACGGTCTCAGCACCAGATCTCTGTCATCTAATCTGATGAGAACAGATGCTATACACAAGACACAAACATAGCGCTTCTCACGTCCGCCTAAGCAGTGACAGATGTTATTTTATTCATTTTCCTTTGTCCATTGTTTCTCTGTCCTCTCACAGAACAGAATCTCCACAAGGACCCATCTCATCATCCCCACACATCTTGTCTCCCCTCCTTCCCTGTATTCAGGATACTGTTTGACAGGAGCTTTGGAAATACATTTCATCAATAAAGGAATGGTCAGGTCCTCCATTTTTTTTAAAAAACCCATTTTGAATTCCACGGTCCTCAGTGAATAAAAGAATAGTTCATCTGTACTACGCTTACTTTGTTCTGGCTGTTACTATACTATATTATTTCACTTAATGGTAGCTGTTACTATACTGCATTATCTCATTTAATAAGCCCCTCCATTAACCTCCCATGACTCATAGAGTGGCTATAACCCAAGCCACACACTGCTGGCCTCTTGCTTGTTTTGTTGGTTTTTTCTTTATGATTTTTTTTCAGTGCTGGGTATTGAACCAGAACCGTGCACATGCTAGACACTAGCAGCTAGAGAAACGGTCTACTGCTGAGTTACACCCTAGCCCCTGTTTATTATTTAATTGATCACAGGCATCCTTCTTTCACCCCAGTGACATCTTAGTTTTCCTACACACACACAGAGCTCAGAGGATACTGGGGAACTGAAGATTCCCCTGGGCAAGTTGTCTTTATTATATCAAAGCTAAACACAGCTTGACTTTAGTTAAAACAGTGAAAACAGATTAGACTCAGTAACCACCGACAAGAAGAAAAAGTGGGGTTCAGTCACTGGGGATTTTTAAAAGAGAAAATGAGGGAGTAGGGACCGTGGAATGGAGCCAGGGCTTGAGCAGTCAGAGAAGTGAGAAACCGAGGAAGCATGAAGGGAGTTTAGCCCCCGTGAAACTAATCTAAGTTTTTTTTTAACTGTTGCCTATGGTATTCAGGCTCCACCCCTCCCCCAGGCACTGGGGGATGGCTCCCCAGGGTTGGGTGTCAACTAAAGCAAACAATTCTGTAGTCTAGCGTTCTCTTGGGCATTTCAAGGGGAACCAGGTACAAGAATGTACCTAGCTGCTGTTATAAACTAAGTCAGTGTTTGCTCTGATCTTTACAGATCAAGCTTGCCTTGTTGAGGGTCGAGGAGCCTGAATAAGGTCTGATCAAGAAGAAAATCTTGAGCAGTTACAAGCTTCAAAAAGAAAAATCACTGGCAGGTAGAAGAAACCTGTTCTATTTGTAAAGATGGAAATCACAAAGCATACTCATCTGAGCTTTGAGGTGTGTGAGACATACAGTCCAAGCTCACGGTTTTCCAAAGAATTTGCTAGAATCTTAGCTTTCAGGAAAGAATGATATGATCTGTCGAAAACAAAAAAGTCTATAAAACTTGTTATTTTGCACCAAGTTGCCGAAAGAATAGGCTTAGCACTGACTTTTCGGGCTTTTAGCCTTGAATGTTGTAGGGTGCTGTGCTGGTCCTGTGGGGTTGATGATTTCAGGATCGTCCAGGAAGGCCTGGGGGTCTGGGAGCTCTACAGACGGGAGGCTGAGATCTTTCCACTCAAAAGCAGGCTCTCAAAAAGAATCAAGGTATTTTAAAGTCTGAAATACCTTAAGCACATGTGGTTTTAGTTATGTATTTTATTGAGTAAAGGTCTTACATAGCCCTCCTTGTTGGAATCCTGTCTCCAGGACTAATACATAACCCACCCCGAACCCCTCAGCGTGGTTCTGCAATCTGGAATTCTACATCTCACCCTCAACTTCACCTCCTCCTCAGGTCTGGGGCTCAGATCAAAAGAGTCCTCCATCACTGTAAAAGATGACATCAGGGGAGTCGGCTCCTATTTATAACACAAGGCGTGGCCCTCCCCCAGGTTGGCAGTAAACCCGGAGTCCTAGCGCTCTTACCTAGCACTCTGAGAGCCCTGAGAGTCATTTCTGAAAATGCCTCAACTTCCGAGGACATCGGAGGCTGGTTTCCTTGGGCTCCACCCCAGAGCAGATGTGTGCAGTCCTGAGAATGTCACCTAACCTGTCTGTCTCTACTTGACAGGTGAACTGGAAGCATCTGTCCTACTATGTTTCCTTGGGGAGAATCTCTTCTATTAGAGAGGGCTTTGGCTTACACAAATCTTAAACTCCACAGGCCCAGCCGGTTTGTGTCCTAGAGTGTGGGAGACACAGTTTTTCAGCTCCTTCTGTGGCCAGGGAGGTAACTGGAAGCCATGGTTCTAATGACACCCAGTTTCCATTCCAGCCCTTTTGGGCGTCCTGCCTCTTTTGCCGCTGGAGCGAGTGACCTAGCCTCTCCTAGTGGTGTCACAGTCCCTGTGAGTAGGGAAGAACTTCTTTATTTATATGGGTGGGAACGCTGGAGACAGGACTCCAACAAGATGGCCGTGGTTTACAAAACGGCCAGTCTCTCAAGAGTTAAATGTACAACATCTCGGACTGTACCTCAAGGAAGGGGAACGGAAACAAAGTGTATTCTGGTCTTGTAGGGGTGGTTTCCGTTAGAGACAAGACCTCACACTCACTCGGGGCCTCGGGTTTAGATCGGAACATCTGCAAGCGAGACTACAGCATCCCTGTAGCCTGTCAGCTGTGATGAAACAGTAAAATACTCCCTTGCCTAATTCTGTTGTTTGTTGGTTTAATAAATCAAGGCAACCCCTAATTTTAAAGAAGAAAATTAAGTTTGATCCCATTCCAATTTCCTGGAACCGTCTGAGGGGATCCGAGTGACAAACGTGACGTGGAAGGCGGGATTTGAGCAACAGGAATTCCGGGGCTGGCTCGGGAATCTCCGAGATTAGCCGAGACCCCGAAGAGCCTGCGCAGGGTGCGGACCCGGAAGACAACGTGGGCGGAGCCTGCGCGTGTAGTGGGTGTGTCCGATGAGGCGGACGTCAGGGGCGTGGCTTCAGTGGGAGTGGCTGGCGGTAGCTAAGCGCGGGTGGCGGGAAGGAAATACGCCGGCGGGAGTGTGCTCGCTTCCTTCTCGCAACCGGAACTGTTTCGACAGTTTTGGCTAACTGCTCCTGCTCCGGGAGAGGCCGTAAACTGCTCAGATTCTGCCTCCTTTTTGTTTCCTCCGCTTTTCCCGGAAGGTGAAAGGTCGAAGCGTGGTTAGACACACCTCCTGGGCCCAAAGAACACGGCCACAGGGGCGCCATTACTCTCCGGACTCATTCGTTAAAACTCCTTTGGGGTACGCCTGTGTGGATGGTTATCCTCAAAGTGCAGAGTTAGTATTTAGGGGATGTAGCTCAGTTAGTGGAGAGCGGTAACCTAGCGTGCATGAAGCCCTGCATGAAGCTCTGCGTTCGATCCCCAGCACTGTATAAACCAGGCCTGATGGGACATGCCAGTAATCTCAGTACTGGTGGAAGAGGCTGAGGATCAGTAGTTCAAAGTCATCCTCAACTACATAGCTAGATTAAGATTAGCCTGGGCTATCTGAGACCACGTCTGAAAAGAAAATTTGGTGTTTAACTGATTCTCAGTTGGTATTTCGTGGGAAGGGGCCTCACACAAGGAGCACTTTGCCATCCGCTAGGCATGAAGCTTGACAGCGTCCTGAACCCCTGTTTTACCCTCCTAAGGCTTCTGGATGACCCTTACCCACGTTAAACACCCTGAAACCTTATTTTTGTGTCTTTTATAGAGTCTTGGCTCAGGGTTAGCAGATGCCACAACCTTGCCTTTTGATGCAGTGTGAATCAAGTCCGAGGGAAGAGGAGATCCCGCCTCTCTTTTGGGGTCTGGATCCTGTGTTTCTAGCCTTTGCAAAACTCTACATCAAGGATATCCTGGAGATGAAGGAGTCCCAACAAATGCCAGGTATGTGGCCAGTCAGCTTAATGGATGCCCTGTGATGTACCCTAACTACTCAGTTTCCCTCAAAGATACAGAAAGCCAGAACCTTAGGGCATCTGAAGAGCCCTGTCTGAAAGTTATCTAGCCTCAACCTTGGAAAGGGTTTATTTCTGTGATTTTTGTGCAAATTAAAGATAATCTAAAATTTTTAAGTTAAATAGAAGTTTGAGGGCATAACCTTTGCACTGAGCGCCTTCTCCCAACCTATACATAACCAGATATAATTTCAACTCTTGGAAGATGGAAGTTCAGGGGTTCAAAGCCAACCTGGACTATGTAAAACCTTTTCTCAATAAAATACATAACTAAAAACACATATGCTTAAGGTTTTCCTTACTTTAAAATACCTTGATTCTTTTTGGGAGCCTGCTTTTGAACAGGAAGATCACGGGGCTAGACAGGCTTCTGTGTTAATGTGCTTACCTTTCTGGTTATGTGACTCACTTTCTGCAGAGTTTCGGTGTCCTCTTAGTAAACACGTAGGGGTTGGTTTTGGTTTGAGTTAATCACAATCAAAATAATAGAAACTCCTGGGAGGAAGGATGTCATCTGGCTTGTCTTGAGTTATGACATCTGCTTGCAGTAGGTGGGCCCTTGAGAAACTAAGTTTGTGCTCACATTTGTAGTATACATACATGTTCATGGAAGTTATATGTATGCACCTTTAGGTGTCTTCCTGGATTTTTCACTTTCTAAATTTTGTTTTTTACATATTTTATTTTTATTTTGTGTGTATGGATGTTTTGTTGTGTACCATGTGTGTGCAGGTGCCCTCAGAGAGAAGAGGGATTCTCTGGAACTGGAGTTACAGATGGTTGTGAGTCACCATATGGGTTCTGGGAATTGAACCCAGGTCATCTGGAAGAGCAGCCAGTGCTCTTAACCACTGAGCCATTTCTCCAGCCCTTCACCTTATGGAGCAGGCGAGGAGGGTCAAACGACTTGAAACAAGGTTTCTCTGTGTAGCCCTGGCTGTCCTAAAACTCACTCTAGACCAGGCTGGCCTGGGACACAGAGATCCACTTGCCTCTACCTCCCTCCCCAAGTGCTGGGATTAAAGGTGCACTCCACTATACTGGGCTCACCTTTATTTTTTAAAGCAAGAGGTGTTTAGTTAACCTTGGAGGTTCTCAGTTAAGGTAGGCAGGCTAAACAGTGAGCTTGAAAGATCTTTTCATGTCTGCTTGGCCCCCTACATGGTTATCAGTGTATGCAGACAAGCTGGGCTTTTCTGTGAGTGCCTGTGGTCAGAGTTCAGGCCACTCTGCTTGCGCTGCAGGTGTTTTACTAACTGAACCATCTCCCCAGCCACAGTTTTAAAAATTAAAGTATTGGTTACCAGAGAGATGATTATCATACCTAAAAGTTTAATAAATATATAGACTGGAATAATTTAGATGGCTGTGGGTAGTTCTCCGGGAGTTTAATACTGTGTTTTGTGAGAAGTTTGGTTAAACCCCTTGCAACTTTATGAAGCTTTCCATTTTTCCATTCAAGGACCTTCTGAATAACAAGCTTTGAGAAAAAAAGAAGAAAAAAAAAAGGTCAGGATCTCAAATATTCACAGTTTGAATGAAAAGAGGTTTATGCGGTCCATTTTATGTGCTTGGATGACCTCCTAAAGCTGTTTGTAGAATTCTTTTCCTACACCTTTACTCCCTACCGACTGTTGAGCTTAGTCTGTGGATTTTTTTTCCCCCTCCACTTGGAAGGCAGCCAGCCTCCTCCAGAGTTTTCCAGAATTATCTGGTCTTCTTTATAGCTCATCTCCTTGGGAAGAAATTAATTCACACCAAATGCCAGTCTTTCTTAAAAGATCTATAAAGAAGCAAGCAAATACCAGTGGTATCCCTGTGAGCAAAAGGATGTGATGATATGTTAAAACCAGTGAGAACCAGCCCTTGTGGTCCTTTCCCTCTCTGGTGACACTGTCTCACATGTTCATTTGTAAGAGGAAAGCTCATGGACGAAGCAAACATCACAGTCTTGTGCTGCTGAATTCCAAGAAGGTAGCAAATCCCACTACTCTAGGTTTTTTGGCTTGGGCTTGTGTCTTAGGTCATCATAAAGAGAATCCTTGTGAGCCAGATGTGGACTACACAGCTGTAATCCTAGCGTTCAGGAGGTGGAAGCAAAAGGTTAGGAATTCAGGGTCATCCATTCTCAACTATATCCAAGGCTAGCCTGGTCTACATGACACAACGGCTCTAAAAACAAGGCAAGAGAGATGTGGTGATGTTTCCCTCTAATCCCAGGGTTTGACAGGCTGCAGAAGCAGGGAGCTCTGTGGGCTCAAGGCCAGAAAACAACAACAACAACAACAAAACAAAAAACAACCAAACAAGATGCTTGTGACTCCATAAAATTAGAAATATTTAAACACCAGAGATTATCTGAAACAAAAAAAAATTAGAGATTATCTGTAAGGGTAATATTTAGAAAACTGTGCCCAATCCGCCTTGTTCTCCGGCAGCCACCATGTTTTTGCTGCTCCTCGGCTCTGACCGGGGCTCTGGCTAGCTAGATGCACAGGCCCTAGCACCCACAAGACGCCAGTGTGGGGGATGGCTCTGCCAATCCACCATGCTGCATCCACAAAGCTTGGCTGAACCCCAGACAATATCTGCCGTCCTCACAGCACCCGGTAGAAACGAGACTCTCAAAGCTTAATGATTATCTAAAGGATTTATATATTTAGAAATGCTCAATCAACAAGATGCTCCCCCCCACACACACAAAAACAAAAAACAAAAAAACCCAAGATGCCCACACAATTAGAGTTGTTACCCAGCATCTAACCTTTTGATAGAAGTTGCTACCCAGGACAGCTTTCAACCCATCCTTAGTTTTCCGTGGGTGATAGCCTCCTCCTTCTCCTCCCCTTCCTTTCTTTCTCTCCTCCCCTTCCTCTTTTTCTCCCCTCCCCTTCCTCTCTTTCTCTCCCAGCTCCACCTCCTCTTCTACTGCCTAATTACCGAGCTCCGCTCCAAATACAATGTAGCAGAATAAGTATCCTGCTACAGTTAACAACTACAGAAGACAAAACAGGAAACAAATGTGTGCTGTAATAATGAATTTGCTTGCCCTTTGTTCTTGGTCCTGGGCAATAATCTCTCAATCTTTGGAATTTCCTGAGTAAAGGAGTGTCTTTGTAACTGGAGGGAGGGGGGGCACACCTTAGTTTATGTTAATGGAGCATGTTATCAGAATGGACTTATCTATACCCAATTAATGGAGGGTTGGGAATCAAGGGGAGACCCTATCAGCCTGACCTTGGAGGGTTAGTGATTCCATCATGCCTACACTATGTAACCCATTAAAAGCCCTGATGCTGAGACTTGCCTGAGCTTACCTGATTAGTTAAGTATACTGTGTCAGAGGGTGATATGCCCCAGAGTCTCACATTGGAGCCTTCCACACCTTCCTCTGCACTTTACTTAGCTAACACTGATTTATGCCCTTTCTTATAAATTGTAATCATTAGGTATGGTACCTTCCTGAGTTTTGGCTAAATATCAAAGCTGTAGGAGTCACATAAACAGCATTATAATAGGCTAGACAGAGGAGCCCAGCAAAGCTGAAGGCTAGGAGCTGAAAAGGGGGCATTCTTATTGGGGAGTGTGCCCTAAACTGGTGACATTTTACCTAGCTGGGTACTGCTTGGTTTGCCTTGTAAAACACCGTCTCCATAAACCTGAACTTTGGGTTTCACTGGTAGAAATGTAAAGTCTGTAGTATTTAGTTCTGTGGTTTATTTATTTGTTTGTTCATTGTCTTATGCATTAAAAGCTTTGCTTCTATGTGCAGGATACCTTCCCTGAAGATGGGATTTCTCTATGTAGCACTGGCTGACCAGATACTCATCATGTAGACCAGCCTGGATTTGAATGGTTTTTCATCTTGTTTCTTGAGATGGATCTCTTTAAAAGTACTATTTTTAATTATTATTATTTTTGTTTGTTTGTTTTTGTTTTTGTTTTTGTTTTTGTTTTTTGTTTTTGTTTTTTCGAGACAGGGTTTCTCTGTGTAGCTCTGGCTGTCCTGGAACTCACTCTGTAGACCAGGCTGGCCTTGAACTCAGAAGTCCACCTGCCTCTGCCTCCCAAGTGCTGGGATTAAAGGTGTGCGCCACCATTGCCTGGCTTAATTATTTTATTTTGGTTTTATGTATATAGGAGTTTTGCCTGCATGTATGTCTGTACATCATAAGCATGCAGTGCCCTCAGAGGCCAGAAGAGGGCGTTGGATTCCCCTGGAACTGTAGCTACCATGTGGGTGCTAGGAATTGAACTCAGGTCTTCTGGAAGAATAGCTAGTGTTCTTAACCCCTGAGCTATCTCTCTAGCCCTTAAAAGTACTATTTAAGGAAAGAAAACAGAAATATCTTCCTGGGGTTGTAGATATTCATCTGAGTCAAATTTGCCAATGACCTTGGCTACTTTTTATTATTATTTTAATTTTACTTTATTTTTACTTAATATGTATGAATTTTTTTAATTAATTAATTTTTTCAAAGATAAAACTTATTTTTTATTGGATATTTCATTTATTTACATTTCAAATGTTAGCCCCTTTCCTGGTCCCCTCCCCCCAAACTTCTTATCCCATCCCTCCTCACCCCCTCCCTGCTTCTATGAGAGTGTTCCCCCACCCACCCACTCCTGCCTCCCTGCCCTCGCATTCCCCTATACTGGGACATCCAGCCTTCACAGGACCAAGGGCTTCTTCTCCCATTGGTGTCTGACAAGGCCATCCTCTGCTACATATGTGACTGGAGCCATGAGTCCTTCCATGTGTACTCCTTGGTTGGTGGTTTAGTCCCTGGGAGCTCTGGGGGTCTGGTTGGTTGATATTGTTGTTCTTCCTATGGGGTTGCAAACCCTTTCAGCTCTTTCAGTCCTTTCTCTAACTCCTCTGTTGGGGACCCCGCACTCAGTCCAGTGGTTGGCTGAGAGCATCCGCCTCTGTATTTGTCAGGCTCTGGCAGAGCCTCTCAGGAGACAACTATATCAGGCTCCTGTCAGCATGCACTTCTTGGCATCCACAATAGTGTCTGGGTTTGGTGACTGTATATGGGATGGATCCTGAGGTGGGGCAGTCTCTGGATGGCCTTTCCTTCAGTCTCTGCTCCACACTTTGTCTCTATATTTCCTCCCGTGAGTATTTTGTTCCCCCTTCTAAGAAGGACTAAAGCATCCGCACTTTTGTCTTCCTTCTTCTTGAGCTTCATGTGGTCTGTGAATTGTATCTTGGGTATCCTGAGCTCTTGGGCTAATATCCACTTATCAGTGAGTGGACCTGGCCTTGACTCTTTAAGCCCTCAACAGTGTGGCTTCTCTCTCTTAGGATCTGAGCATAGGGGAGCACAGATACCCAGGCTGTCCTAGGCTGCCGTGGGTGCTGTGGGAAAAGCTGGACCGTGAGCTTGCTGTGAGCTTGTCTCCGTGGACAGAGCTGCGCCCTTGGGTCCCTGTGGTAGAAGGAAGTGGCTCTCTTCTGCAGTGTTGTAAGCCATCGTCTTGAGGCCTGGCTCCTTATCCTGAGGTTTGTGTCTTAATATGCCCTGAGAAGTTTCTTCTGTGTTTTTAAGCAGTGTATTCTTCCTCAGCCAGTTTCCTCAGAAGTCGCCCCCATACCGGCCCCCCAATTCAAACCATCTGCTGTTTGTTTGTTTCTGTAGTTCTCCATTGTTCTGTGATGCTTTCAAGATTGACTTCTGCTGAGTCCTTTGGGACTAGAAGGATTTTCTTGCAGCCTCAAGTGAGTGTTCTTGAAAGCCAGCCATTGTTAATTCCCAAGGCACACATTCGTGAGGTCTATGTTTAATCCTTTTCAAGGAGGTATAGTATGTGGTCAAGTGAGAATGTATTCAGAGTTTTATTATTGCCAGATATGGTTTGTTGACTGAAGATGGGTGACTCAGGACGCTGGCTTGTGTGTTAGTTCAGTCTTCTTTCCGCCTTTGGAAACAGACTTGTTTAGCCCCTCACCCCATCTTAAGGGTCATAACACTTCAGCTGTTGACTGTAGATCCATGTCATACCCAGCCAGCCTGTGTGTTTGTCAATGGGGGCAGCTGTCTGTCATCGAGGGGTAACACTGTATCCTGGGCTCCCTTCCTCAGGGGGCCTTGCCATCGTCAGCCTCTGGCCTCCTAGGTTGCCCTAAGGATAGACTTCCATCTACCAGCTTATCCTTAGAAGTCCACCCGCCCACAAAAGAGCGACTAGCTCAGAGCTGTCCTTTTCTCTGAGCCACACTCACTCTTCTGGTAGCCTTTGAGAGAACCGCCCATCAGCAGTGGTCAGTGTGAAAATTCAGGCTGTTGTCTTCTAATGGATTGAAACCCAGAGGTCTGACCAGCCAGGCTGGTTAAGAAAAGGGAGTGGTCGAATCTTTGAAGTGATTATGGTTCTTTGTTTACAATTCTTTGTTTACATGTTTTCTTTGTTTCCTTTGTTTACAAAGGGAAAGGCCATTTGAAAATAGTGTGTGGGGCTAGAGAGATGGCTCAGTATTTGAATGCTGCTTTTTCAGAGAACCCAAATTTGGTTCTTAGTACCCAGTTGGGTAACTGACAGCTTCTTCCATACAAATAAGTAATAATAGTAATAATTCTTTTAAAAATAGCATATGCTGGGGGCTAGAGAGATGGCTCGGCAGTTAAGAGCAGAGTTCAATTCCCAGCAACCACATGGTGGGTCACAACCATCTGTAATGGAATCTGATGCCTTCTTCTGGTGTGTCTGAAGACAGCTACAGTACTCACATAAAATAAATAAGTAAATCTTTAAAAAAAATAATGTGTTACCCTCAAAAGTAGAATAAATAAAAAATGAAAAAACATATATTTTTCAAAACTAAAGGTAAAGACTGCAGGTGCGGCAGGGAGCCGAAGGCGGAGAGACTACTACCTGGGAACCAGTGGGTGATCTAAGCTCATGGCAGAGGCTGACACAGGAGCTGGAGTAGGATGTGGAGTCTGGATGGGAGGCTCTGAAGCAGCCAGGGAGTCCTGAGAATAAAAGTGAAATTAGGAGCTGGTGGCTTCTAGAAAACCCCAGGGCTGTGTTTCCACATGTGAAGAAAAAAACGTTGTTGCTCATCTGTGGCACCTTCCCCTCCAGTTTCCCTCCCAGCAGAAACTTGTCTCCTGGCGTCTGTGTAGCCTGAGCTTTACAAACAGGGTTTTAAGAAGTGTTTGAGCTGCCGTCAGCTGGCCCCAGTGGGCAGTGTGTGTATCTTTTCCTCGCCGGTTCCTACAGATGATGACTAGTTTCTTAGAAAAGTTGTGGTTTAAAAAAGTCATGGAGCTGGAGAGAGGGCTCAAGAGCACTAGCTATTGCAGAGAACCCTGCTTCCATTCCCCGTACCCATACGGTGGCCTACAGTGTCCATATCCCAGTTCCAGGAAACCCAGCGGGCATGCGTGTGGTGCACATATATATGTGTGCATATGGGCAAAACATTCATATACGTAAAGTAAAATAATCTAAAAAACAAAAACTTAAAAAAAAAAAAAAACATTTCCCTTGCGGTCACTCGGGTTTGGTGGTGTGCTAACGTCAAGTGCTAGCTGTGTTCAGCCCTGTGGACTGTGTTCATAAACCACAATCCTAGTCACGGTGGGAAGGGAGCTAACCAACCTGCGTGGGTGACCCTGCTTCTCCCTGCGGTACTAGTTCAGGCTTCTCAAGAGCCCACTTTTCTGCTTTCTGTTCCTTAAAAGCACTGCTTACCTTCTTGGAGCCTGCCACTTGGCAAGGACTGACTCTTAAGGCTGGAATTTGAACACAGCTCGACAGTGACTTGTGACGCCTTAAGCCCAATAGACATTTAATACAAGCAGATGTGCTTGTGTTGTATGAACTGCTTCCTCTTGATTTTCAGGTACGTATTTCTACAACGGGCATCCAATAAGACGGGTGGATATCATGGGAGCCGTCATCAGCGTGAAAGAAAGAGAGGCTTTCTACAGCTATGGAGGTAAGAGCAATCGATCGCCTCTGAAACTGTCTGTCCCACTCAGCTGGAAGGTGAATTTTCAGCAGCCCTCATGCTTGCGAGCAGCTGGGGCCTCACAAAAAACAAGTGCTCTGTTGAGAGGCTCGTGGAGTCCCCCGTCTGTATGAACCAAAGGAGGCCACAGATAAGAATGGCACAGATGAGTGTGGTGCACCGCTGCAGGGGAGAGACCGTGGAAGAATTGAAATACAGCCGTATAAGGTCACTGATGGTCAGGGGAGACACCTGCCACCTGCCACATAGCTGTGCAGAGCCAAGGACCGGACTGAGTGGTTACTGCGATCCCTTTGAAAAGAGGCCCCGTGAATGTAAAAATAGACCTATTTAGATAACAATCGTTTTTTAAAAGATTTATACCCAGAGCAGTCAGGGGAGAGGAAAAAAAAAACATTTTGTTACTTAAGGTGTAAATATCGGTTATCAGACTTGCCTGTCCCCCATGTTGAAAACTCAGTACAGAGCCTCCATATTTTAGACAGCAGACAATTGCTGGGATCGGCTTTAGTATAGAGTGTCTTGCTTTTTCGAGTGTGTGGTTATATGCCTGTGAGTCCAGGTACCTAAGGAGGCAAGAAGAGGGTGTCAGATCCCCTGGAGTTAGAGTTCTAAGCGGCTGTGAGCCACCCGGTGTGGCTGCTGGAACCGAACTTGGCTCCCCTGGAGAGCAGTAAAGGCTCCTGACACTGAGCAGGCTCTCCAACCCTAATGCAAGCATCTTGATTTGTCACGTCGCTCCATGAGTTGAGCAGCTCCAAGGCTCTGTGGGGAAGAAACCGAGATAGATGTTCCGGGGTCAGGGTTGGGGATTGTACAACTGAATTGCAGACCTTTGCCCTGACTGACACTATCACTTGTGTGGCGTTGCCTGCCACGTACTTTCTTGCTCTACGTGGGGAAAGGTAGGAGTTGACCTTTATGTCCAAGAGCATTTTATTGACACTGTCAGGATCATTGTATCTCCACCTCGACCTAGTTTCCTGAAGGTGATTGTCCCTGCACTTATAAAGAACATGTTTGAGATCTCTCCTTCTATGTATTCTCTCTCTCTCCTCTCTCTCTCTCTCTCTCTCTCTCTCTCTCTCTCTCTCTCTCTCTCTCTGTGTGTGTGTGTGTGTGTGTGTGTGTTTTAAATCTTGCCAGACATCCCTCTCCTGACTCTTTGCTTTATTTTACGAAAGATGTTGGTTGTGTTTTTCTCTTGACAATTCAGCAAGCATGCCCAGTGCTTCTCCAGCATACCCAGCTGTGGGCAAGCGCCTTGTGTGCAGTACAATGCAGTATCTGCTCTCCACGCCCTGGTGATGACATAATCATGGCTTTCAGTTACAAAGGACTTTTTACATCATTCCATATTCAACACATTTTGTTGAGAAATAGTTATGGAAATACTATTAATAGAAATTGGACAACCATTTCCATTTTTCAGGTGAGGAAACTGACTCACTTAGCTTTCTCAGGGCTGTGTTGAAAGAGGCTTATGACTGCTAACTGGCCCCAGTGTGCTCTGCTGTCGGCAAAGAGCTCAAAATAGCTTTTGTCTCATACATCCCCTACTTTCTCCAGGCTCTCAACCTCAGTCATCTGGAGTTAATGTTTTCAGATCAAATAAGAGACTGTTGGGGATTTCAGTTCTGGCCCTAGAATTAGATCTTGTGACATAAATGGGCTTCATGTAACTTACTTTCCCACTGTGGAAATGTTTGAGATGGTATGTTTGGCTCTTCCCTAAGAAGACTTTCCCTCCAAGTGGGTGTCTTGAGAACGTGACACATCTGTGGGCTGCAGGAAGGCGGCCGTGTGGAAGTAATTAAGAACAGAAAGGCGTTCTGCACTTTAGTTCTTGTGTGGCCAGCTAAGCAGAGAGCTGCTTACCTCCCGCTGTCACTGCAGGTGTGGACTGTGTGTCTCCACCCACGCTGACTCCTAGTGTCACACTAGGGAAGGATGTGGTGTGGCTTTGTAA